CATCTGCAGTTCTGGATTTTTCATGTAAAACATTTTTTTGCCTTGAAAAGGAATTGCAAGGAATAAAGGCAAAGCTAACACACTAACATGGGTGAACCCCCGAGACATTTACTGATACGTAAAACAAGCAAGTGGAAGAACAGCATGCAATCTACACCACCCACTGATGTTGAGTCGAGTCCGACCTCTAGCGACCCTACAGCGCAGAGCAGAGCTTGGCCCCTAGGGTTTCCAAGGCTGTGATCTTCTTTACACAAGCAGACTGTCACCATCTTTCTCCCACTAGCGGCTGGTGGGTTCAAACCACCGACCTGTCAGTGAGCAGCCGAGTGCTTAACCACTGCGCCACCAGGGATCCTCAATATGCAATATATATTGTTTTTAAAATGCTGAAACTCCCAGATGTAAACCTCCAGCCCGGCTCCCACAGCACTCCTGTTTCAAAGTCCCAACTGCCTCCCAGACATTTCCACTTGGTACCTGCACAGGTATCTTAAACCTACCATGTCCAAAAATGAAACCTTGATTCTGCCCTCCCCAAACTTATTCCTCCCCCAAAACCAAAAACACAAACCTGTTGCTGTCGAGTCGATTCCGACTCACAGTGACCCCACAGCCCCAGTCTCCCCACTCAGTAAACGACGTCACCTTCCAGGTTGTGTGCTCAGGTGCTGTCGAGTGGATTCCGACTCACAGTGACCCCACAGCCCCAGTCTCCCGGCTCAGTAAACGACGTCACCTTCCAGGTTGTGTGCTCAGGTGCTGTCGAGTCGATTCCGACTCACAGTGACCCCACAGCCCCAGTCTCCCCATTCAGTAAACAACATCACCTTCCACGCAGCTATTCAAACCAGAATGCCAAACAGGCATTCTGGATTCCTCCTTCTTCCCGGGCCCTCACACAATCCAACAGTAAGTCCCGTCCATTCTAGAGAAAACTGCGCACTTCTCACCATGTCCCCATGTCCTCTTGCACCTGAATTACTGCAGCAGCCTCCTAACCAATCCTCTTCCTTCCACTTTGTCAAACCCTCCAATCATTCTCCACAAAGCCATCAGTGATCTTTTAAAATTGTAACTAGGAGCACGCGTATCTCTTAAAAGCCTTCAACGACCTCCTGCTGCACCTAGAATAAAATCTAAGCCCCTTACCTTGGTCTATGGGGTCTCTATGAGTCAGAATCAACTCAGTGGCAAGGGGTTACCTTGGTCTACAAGTGCCTGTGTGATCACCCCTCCAACCTCATCTCCTCCCACCTTTCCCGGTCCTGCTGGCTTTCTTTCAGATCCTTAATCTCTTCCCACCTTAAGACCTTTGCATACGCTGTCCCCTCTGCCCGGAATGCTCTTCCTAACACCGCTCTTCAAATGGCTGTTCTTTTCATCTATCAGTCATCAATGAAAAATTACCAACTCATTCAAGTAGACCCCTCCGATTTCTTTTTTTAATCATAGTACCCTGTTCATTTCATTCACAACATTTTCTGTCTTATAATCACTTGACTGCTCATTTTCTATTATCCAACTTCCCCACAAGGAACCCCGTGGTGCAATGGTTAAGCACTCGACTCCTGACTGAAAGGTTGGCAGTTCGAACCCACCAGCAGCTCCACAAGAGAAAAGACCTGACAATCTGCTCCCATAAAGATTACAGCCTAGAAAACCCTATGGGGCAGTTCAACTCTGTCATATAGGGCAGCTATGAGTCGAATTCGACTTGGCAACACACAACAACTTCCTCACGAGCCTGGAAGCTCTGTGACAATGTGGGCTATGCCTGTTTCATCCACCGTTGAACAGTCAGTGACTTCAAACCCAAACTCATTGCCATCAAGTCAACTGCAACTTATAGTGATCCTATAGGACAGAGCAAAACTACCCCACAGGGTTTCCAAAGAGCAACTGATGGCTTCAAACTGCTGACCTTTTCATTAGCAGCCATAGCTCTTAACCACTGTGCTACCAGGGCTCCAGTCAGTGACTAGCACTTAATAAATGCTCATATTTGTTTAAAAAAGGTGGCAATATTTGCCACTCATTAAGAAATTCAGTGAAATTTTCACTGTGAATTACACCGTGGTGCAGTAAATTATTTAATATGGCCCTTCTAGCCATAGTCTTTTTAACTCCCACTAAATGACTGGGTGAGACTATGCAAATGAGGTGCTTGTGGCCCACCAAGGGGATTGGATAGCTTGCCAATAATGTAAATAAGGTGCATGGCACCTTGTGGGGGTGAGACCACACAAATAAAGTATATGGAACCCCAGTGAGGGGACTGGTCAGTTTTGCCAACCTGCTATGCTTAAAATGAGCCATCCCAGAGGGAGGAGGGGAGGATCTCAACACCACCAAGAAAGAAGGGCCAGAAGTAGAGCATGTCCTTTGGACCCAGGATCCCTGCACTGAGAACCTCCTAGATCCAGGAGACAGAGAGAAGAGCTGTAACACAGAAGACAGTGAGAGACGGTGGCACGGGACAGTAGGAATCAGGAGACTGGTGCGAAACGCTGTGGTGGAACTTCCCAGCCCATGGAGCAAGAAAGCTGGCACTTTTGTGCACAAGGCTTACTGGCAGAGTAGGGTGCCTCCATGCAGTTATTAGCAGAGCTAAAAGAGCTTTGCAACACTTGCCTGAGCAGGGCAGAGGCCAGGCCAAAATGCCAAGAGGCCAAGCGGCCAGAGAGAGGTGTGCCTACTGGCCTGACTGGGAAGAGGCTGTCCTGATGGAAGAACTATATCCTGAGCGTTCCTAAACCAGAATTGTAACCTGTTACTTCCTTAACAAATCCCGTAATCATGAGTATTGTCTGTGAGTTCTGTACGGCCATTGCAACAAATTATTGAAACACAGCAGAGAAGTACAGATCTGTGGGAGGGATGGCTGGTGTCAGAATTGGTAAAAAGGGAACAGGGAGGAGGAGGCATGTCTGACCTCAGCCTCATAGGAATCTGCCTTGGGCTGTTGATCTCGATTCTCCTTCCCCCTTGTGAAGTGAGACGTCAGACGCTGCCCTCACCGCACTATTTCTACACATACAATGCTGCTTTAGCCATGTCATCATCCATCACGTTGTAGGGCCGATGAGCGGACGCCTCTCTCCTTCCCCTCGCTCTGAATGAGGCTAAATTGAAGAAGCACACCAGAGTGCCCAAATGGGCAGAGTCCTGCAACGTGGGGCTCTGGCAAAATCAAAGGGCTGAAAGAGGCCTACTGTGACAGCTGGTTCTCTAAACAATCTTGTGTGGTTAGTATGATATCTGGGTTTAATACATTTTATAGATGACAAAGTTGAGACATATTAACCTTTAAACATCCCATTAGAGACCCAAGCCAAACTGTGAAGAGGACAAAGCCCGGCTCGTGCACTCTTCCTGCCTTTCTGGCCCTTCCTCCCCTGCCCCAGTGTCCTCTGGCTTATCAGGCCCAGTGCAGCAGTTCACCCAGGTGTGCTTCTGGACCCGCCCTGTGTCGATCCTAGAACAGTATCAAACTCATAAAAGTCAGCTTCTTCTTTTTTCTTCCTTTTTTTCCTTTAGGATCCTGCCCTCTTGGAACTATACAAGCTAATCTCTCCATTCTCCAAAGGTATGGTTTCTAACACAAATTTGCAGTTTAACAGGGCACTCTGGAAGTATAACTGCAACCAGGGAAATGACTAACTCCACCACCACAGAAAGCCAAAACGGAATTTAATGTTTGGGCGAGTCACTGAAATGACAGTCCCACTGGTAGCTGCTATTGTAATTACCAATTGATATAAACACGTCTTCAGATATGACACACATTCTCTCATTTGGTTCTCAGACACTGAGACAGGGAAGAGATAATTATTATACCAGTTGTTTTACAGATAAGGAAATTGAGACTTAAAGAAGTCCTAGCATCACCTAGCAAGAGACAGAGCCTGGATCCTAATCCAGAACTCCAAATCTTTTTCCTCTGTTCAGTCTTTTTTCTCTATCCCCTTGCCTCCTTTGTTGTCTACTGCAACTTGCGTTGAGGGGAAGCTTTATCATAAGCAAATGGTCCTAGTGTTCTGATCCTGTTCCGGATCTCAATCCGTCCTACTCCGGGCAGCCTCGAGCAGTTTATGTCTGTTGGTGAAATACTCAACACAAAAGGTGCTGCTACAGATTTTCTCATTAACAGCTGTAGTGTAGATTAAGAAGATGAGAATTCCAAGTATCCAGTGATTTCTATTAGCCCTAGACCATTTAACTGGTGGTAAGGAGTTTTATATCTGCAGATTGCTAGTTTAAATTCAAGCTTCTCATCTTTTAAGTGAATAGAGGAGATGGTAGACTCTGCCCTCCATCTGGTGGACAGGTGTCGAGACATATTTGACACTGAAAATTGATCAGTGAAAAGGCTGTCTTGCTCCACCCAGAAGGCGGTTTAGGAAACACTGGGACCTCGGGTAATTTACTTCTCTGGTCTTACCTACATGTGTCTGGCCTATCAACTAAATTCTTGTTAGTTTTAAACACCTGCCTCTAAAGTGTTTAAGAGCCACCAAACACAGCTGAGAGCATAGCTGATTCACTGAAGTTTCTATGGGTCATCAACTACTGGAGTAGATCAGATTTCAAAAAAAAAAAATTTTTTTTAAGTAAATACTATATCCGTTCCCAAGAGATACTAGAGCGTAAGAAGTGAAGGGCTGTGCTTTGCACTTTCTAGAAACAATGTATATGCTCTCCAAGATATTTTCACTGCAATCTCTTTGGTGAAGATTGAAAGACTTTTGGACACCTCGGTTTTGGGTATTTTTCATGGGGGCAGAGAGAAGGTGGTGGGCCAAGATCACTAGGCAGAGAATTACTTTCCGTGAGGATCTGGACAGGGGACTGCATTTCCCAGGCCGCGCCTAAGCCGGAAGGACCCACACCAGCCCTCAGCCCGCACACCCAGCCGCAGCCCGAGTCCCGCCCCGCACCCAGCCGCAGCCCGAGTCCCGCCCCGCACCCAGCCGCAGCCCGCACCCAGCCCCCATTACCGACGCCCGCGCCGACGGCACCGCCTTCCCCTGCTCCTCCTCCGCCGCCGCCTCCTCCTCCGCCGCCGCCGCCAGGGCCTCTATGAGATTTTCCGTTTCGTACTGGGCGACCCGCGCCCCACTGTTGGGATCAACCGGGGTATGGTGGCTGGAGGCCGCCAGCTTCGCCGCCCGGTGCGAGGCGTCCATCACCGCGCCGCCGAGGCCTCCCCGCCGGCGCTGACCTGGGGCGGGGAAGGTGGTGCAGCCTCAAGCACCGGCGGCTTGCTCGGGGCGGGCGGTTACCAGGGGCGCGGTAACCAGGGGCGCTACGGGGGCCGCGGGGGACCAAACGGCACGCAAAACGCTCGCACGCTCCGGACACGCGGGTCGCGCCCCCACCGACCGCAGTGAGTCGGTACTAATTCTGTTTAGTGGATTAGAACGTTAGTGGGAGGATCAGGCCGCCTCTTCCCCTCCTTCGCGTCTCACTGCTTCAACGCACATTTCTCACATTGTGCTAGTGAAGCAACTCGTTTTGCGAAGAAAAGAGCGCATTTTTATTAGTTGAAATAATGTGTTAGACGGGGATGACAGCGGCGCAGGAGGAAGGCAGGGGGCGCTGTGGTGTGACAGTTTCGTACCTAACATGGCTCCCCTGGGAGCCTGAGGATTCCCAACAAGCGCAGTAAATCCTGCTCTGATTGACTTAACAACTATCAGCAACTGGCCAATCAGAAGGAGGTCGCTAGCTGGCAAATCAGCGTGTGACCAATAAAAGCCTAGCGTTGGAGGCGCCTGGCCCGCCCACCGATGAGTGACAGAGCGGCGGTGTGAGCCTGGCGTTGGCAGCTCTGACTCAGGCGGGGTTGAAGGCGCGGTTGCCCAGCAGCGAGCACAAACACACCCCATCTCCACCCACACCCAACAACTCCTCCCACCGGGATTTGCGTGCTTCAAATGGCGTCTTCCGTCTGCGCCACGTGGCTGTAAGAGGCCGAGCCTCCAAACAGGGGCGTGGCAGAGTCTCAGCAACTTGCCACCCAAGCCCCTACTTCCCCGCCCCATCCCGTAGCCTCCTCTGCCCCGGCCCTACACGGCTGGCAACGCCTTGGAGTTATAGCGTTTCCTCGGTTGTGCCGGGCGCGTGGTCTCTAACCCATGTCTAAGGACTAAGCCCTCTTACCAAGCCTTCCTTGCCCTCCTGTCCGGAGTAAGCACCTGCGAAATCCCCCCTCCCCAGTTCCTTCAGGCTGCTCTTTGCTTTGTCAGAGCATTTGCTTGGCACACTGGAGCAAATGCTGGCTCGGTTCTGAGCAAAAGCTGGAAGCCCATGTGGTATGGACGCCCCAAGTAACCTGGGCAGGGACTTCCAGTTAGTCACGTGCAGCAAGACAGGTCTTGATGCTGAAGCACGGGGCAAATGGAAAATCAGAGCAAACCAAGGAGTGTGGAGGACACGTATTTAGATGAGAAGGAAAGTTTCAGTTCACCAAGAATATTCTAAACTAGGAGTCCTGGTGGTGCAGGGTTAAGAGCTACGACTGCTGACCAAACGGTTGGCAGTTCGAATCCACCAGCCACTCCTTGGAAACCCTATGAGGCAGTTCTGCTCTGTCCTATAGGGTCACTATGAGTCAGAATCGACCGGACAGCAACAGGTTTGGTTTCTGTTTGTTTTTTTTTTTTAATTCTAAATTAGCTTCCATCTAATCACATAGCCTCAAAATATATACAGCAGAAATTGACAAATCTGTGAGAAGAAAATAACAAATCTTACACGTCATAGGAATTGTTTTTGCATTTTTGTATTGGGATGTAATTTATATACAGTGAAATGCATAGGTCTTAAATGTGTAGTTAGATGAATTCCGACAAATGCATACGCCCATGAAATCATACCCATTAAGATATAGAACGTTTACGTCATCCCAAAAGATCCCTGTGCCCCTTCCTAGTCAGTTTCTCACTCCAGCCCCTTGGCCGTTCTAGAACCTCATATAAATGGAATCATACAGTGTGCATTCTTTTTGCTCGCACCTTCTTTTCTCAACCTACTGTTTTTGAGATTCATCCATGTTGTTACATATTTGAGTAGTCTGTTCCTTTTTAATTGCCGAGTAGTGTTCTTTGCTGAATCAGATCGTAGTTTCCAGTACTGGAGGACTTTTCCTCGATGTTTCGTGTTAATCATAACAAGGCATATTCTTAAATTTAATCTGCACTGTTAACATTCTTGAGTTTATGCACTTGTTTATCCAGCCACCTGTTGATGGACATTTGGGTGGTTTCCCTTTTTTTTTTTCCCACTGTCAGTTTGAGTCTTCCAGGAAGCAGACACCAAGGAGTTAGAAGTGCAAGATATTTATTGGGGCAAAAGCCTGTGAGAGGTAAAGGGGGAGGCATGGAAGCCTTCAAGCTAAGATACAGTGTGACCCTTCAGAAAGACAAGGGGAAAAGGAGGAGTGAGTAGGAGGAGGTTCACATTGCAGGGCAGCCCTGAGAAAGTGTCAAGCTGACTCAAAAGGGAGCTCTAGCATAGAGATTGCAGGGAAGAGTTCCTCAGTGGGTACCTCTGCTGCCTCCATTGCTGGCTGGAGCTGCGTGGGAAAAGCACGTTCTCAGATAGAACACTCTGGAGAACCCTAACGGTGGAGGCTGTCGGCCAGTGGCCTGCTTGTATATGGTTAATGACTGGCTGTTGGGGGAGAGCATGTATGTGTGTGTGTGTGCGTGTGTGTGTGTGTTACTGATATAAAAGATTGTAACACACAACTGTAGACCCTGGATGGTGCAAACGGTTAATGCACTCAGCTGCGAACCAAAAGGTTGGAGGTTCGAGTCCACCCAGAGGCTTCCTGGAAGACAGACCTAACTATCTACATCCAAAAAACCAGCCATTGGAAACCCTGTGGAGCACATTTCTATCTGACACACTTGGGATTGCCAGGAGTAGAAGTCAACTGGATGGTAACTGTTTTTTGAGCACACATCTTACAAATAATAAGTTATGCTATGCTCTGTGTTGTAAATTCCACGTAGACAATTGATTTTCACAGACTACTTTTCCTATTGTTTTTTGGGTGTTTGTTTTTGCTGAACTCTTGTACTTGTAGCCAACCTATGGTTACAATCGATTAACAACTGTAGTTCCAATATGAATGATCGTTAATATTTTTGTTTATGTTGATGAGTAAAATGAAAGTAATACCACCAAGATGTATGTCAAAACTTCACTTGTTCATCAGTGTTTTATGTGACTTCTTTCCTGAAATAGATGATACTTTTCTAATACTGGAAGAATTATTCTCAATTTGTTGTGCTATTCACAATGGAATGGCTACAGATACGTCATACTTTGAAGTTTATTCTACATTATTAACATTTTCCCCCTTTTTTTAATTCCTTTTTTTTTTTTTGAGAGTGTATTTTCTTTTTTTATTTTTCCCATACAAAAATTTGTACATACATTGTTGTGTGACCCTAATTGCTCTCCACATACTGTGACAGCATACTCTTCCTTTCCACCCCGGATTCCCCATGTCCATTCAACCATCTCCTAACCCTCTCTGCCTTTCCATCTCACCTCTGGACAGAAGCTGCCCATTTAGTCTCTTGTATCTACTTGAGCTAAGAGACACACTCCTCACGAGTATCACTTTATGTCCCACAGTCCAGTCCAATCCCTGTCTGAAGAGTTGGCCTTGGATATTGTTTTAGTTCTGGGCTGATA